GCTGTAAAGTTGAACACATAATGTTAAGTGCCAGACAATCATATACAATCTAGTTTAAACAGAAAAGCCAATATAGATAACAAATGTAACCACTGGCCAGCAATCCCTCACAGCCTCATCACAGGAAAGTTATATACAATGGAGTCTAGCAAATACTCAGAGAACAGACTACGTTCTTTAGGTCTGAGGAATAGTCCATTTGTCAAAAATATCAATTTAGTTTTGAGGATTTTCTTTTTGACATAATCTTATCAGTAGGCAAGTAAATATTTAAGAGTTATGGGTTCAAGTGATTAAATTACACGAAAACAACTGCACTCAGTAATGTTTCTATCACTCCTAGAAATTAAGCTTGGGCTAATCTAGCTCAAGGCTATCAACAATATATAAAAACATGCAGATTTATACTTTGGAAAGGGAAAAAAACATGACTGTTTTCTTTCAAGACTCTTCCATGGCATATTTAAATAAATAACTATATTTCAAGCTACATTAAAAGAGCCATTCTATTACAAGTTGTCTTGCTGTTAATTTCCAACACTACTTACAATTTGAAGAAAGTTGTTCCCAGCTGTAGCAGTAACACATGGGGTAGCCGGTGCTCATGTACAATCAGGACCCCTTCAACAGTCCTTCTCATCCCAATTTTATCAAATTCTTCCCGCATACGCTGAAATCTGGCTGCAACAGAGCTATCCTTCTCATAGAGGGGCTCTTTTGTACCAAAGGTATAATTGGTAAGTGGGTACCTGTGAACCAAAGACAAGCATTTAGTATGAGAACAGATTATGAGTTAGTATGAGAGCTAGATTAGCCCAAGCTTATTTACCAGGACAGTTCAAAGCATACATAAAACTGTGGTCAAAGCTACATTGTGCTCAAAGACAACCGGCCCAAAGCTTCACAACCAGCTATGAGATAGCAAAGATGAGAATACTGTTGCTGTCTGGACTCTCAAAGCCAGAACTTGCATGAATCAAGCACAGACAGCATTGTCAAAAGGTCACTGAAATACTTATTGAAACAGATATCCACACTGATTTTTAATCATTTCACTGCACTAATACCAAATGACCAGCCTGGTTCTTCTGATTAACCTAGTTATAACTTCTATTTAACTAAATGGCACTACAGCTAATCTCTTTCCTCGTATATGCTGAGCCACCACTATCTATCAACATCTCCTGCTTTTTAAGTTTTTTAAAAAATGTGTTTCTGTACACATCTACACATGGTGTTCTATGACATGTACAGACAAAGGATAACTTGTGTGAGTGTGCTCTTTCACCATATGGGTTCTGGGGACTGAGCCTCACATCACCATTGGCAGCAAGCACCTCTTACCTGAAGAGCCACCTCACTAGTCCCTCTCCAACTATTTTCTCTCCCAGCAATACCCAGATTTTGCTTGTTTTTTTTTTAGATTTATGTATATTTATTATGTATACAATGTTCTGCCTGCATATATGCCTGCAGGCCAGAAGCCAGCACCAGATCTTATTACACATGGTTGTGAGCAACCATGTGATTGATTGCTGGGAATTGAACTCAGGACCTCTGGAAGAACAGCAAGTGCTCTTAACCTCTGAGCCATCTTTCCATCCCCTTGCTTGTTTTTTTGAAACAGAGTTGTCCTGGAACTTAGACCAGGCTGGCCTTGAACACAGAGACCAGCCTGCCTTTTCCTCTCAAGTGCTGGGATTAAGGGCATGCACCACCACAATGGCTTAGACCGTTTTCTTTTCCCCTGAGTTCAGCATTTACCCTATCTAGTATGCTTACTCTTCTCACAAATATCTAAGCTGAATAGCCTCTTTTCCCTATCTAGAACCCAAAGTATGATTTAAAGTACTAAAGACTTCATCTTGCTTAGTAAAGATCAAATTTTCCTTAAAGTTTAAAACCTACATTTATATTTTATCACATTCTACCTTGCAGCCCCTAGAGTATAAGTCCCCCCCCCCCCCCAGTAAGAATGTTTTGGCTGGAACATAGCTAATTCCAAAGTATCTCATCTACCAAAAACAACAACAAAACCCTTGATAATGGTCTGAGAAGATAGTCAGTAAAGTGCTTATTAAGCAAGCATGAGATCCTAAATTCAATCTCCAGGACCCACAAAAACAAACAAAAACCCAGCCAGCACTAAACAAACCTAACAGAGCATGATAGCTCCACAAGATCCCATGGTAATCCTGTGAGAGATCCTGTTCTCAAACAAGGTGGAAGGTAAGAATTGACACCTGAGACTGACCTGACTTCTGTACATGTCCTGTGTGTGTGGCACAGGCACACCCATACAGTCACAAATGCTGTGAACACACACCTACACACCCTCACATACACAACTGCACACATTTGAATGAATGCATATAGTACACGTGCATCACACACAAAACTCTTGACATTAATAGACAACTACATACACTCAATGTTCTTGAGAAGGAAAATCAAGGTAACCAAAAGAAAACACTAATTCCAGAAGTCAATTTCTAAGCATAAACAAAGTAGCTCTAAGATAATGAAAATATACCATTTTCAGGGGTCTTTAACAATTACAAATAATCTTGCAATAGATCCAACAATCCACCTAGTACCATCATTATTAGGAAGAAGTTACTACACATAGCTTTATGTACTGCACAATGCTTTACAATGTGTTAACATCTGGTTTTCCCAACCTGTGTTAGAAAGAATTATGACCAGCCACAATACATTTCTATTGCAAGGACTATCTCCTACATCATAGGAGCCGAATGAAACATTAGGACTTCTGGCTGTGCAATCTGAACATCAGACACACAGAGCATATTCTCTACATCATACTGTGGGCATCTCAAAGTACAGTGTGCATCTTACTCGCCCATCTGAACACCTAGCCATTTGTATACACACTATGTGTTACAAAAACACCCATCCAGTTTTCCCTGAATGAAAATATACTGCAGAAACAAAGACCTATTCCCATTTAGTAGATGGTTCACCCAGGTGAACTCAAGTTCATAGCAGTTTATTTCTCAATACTGCATTACATAGGAAGTGAAAAGCAACATGCTTACCTGTAAAACATCTCTGAAAGCACATCTATTTCAACAATTCTACACAATGGCCCAATGTCAACAGATCCAGGAATCAAGGAAAGTAAATATAAAACCTGTGTTCCTTGCTCATCACTGAAGTAATGTAGAACTTGTGCTTTCAGTTTTTAATTTTTGAGATGCTGGAGATGGAACGGGAGTGGGTGGAGGTGGGGAAGGGGGGGGGGCTTGCATACTCTAGGCAACACCCTCATACATTTTTTAAAAGAGCACCTGCTTTCTCCATTTCCTAGGAATCTTTGATTTTTAGAGACAAGTTTCTCCATAGCTTTTGGGGCCTGTCCTGGAACTCAATCTGTAGACTAGGCTGGCCTCGAACTCAGAGATCCGCCTGCCTCTGCCTTCCAAGTGCTGGGATTAAAGGTGTGTGCCACTACCACCCGACTCACAGGAATCTTATAAGCATTTTTGTAACAGGGAATTAAAGCGCTACCAGGTATTTTGGTACAAAAGTTAATTTGCATAGACACTCTTATTAGCTACTTCCAGATTTGACCTCTTTTTATTACCTACGTCTCCAGGCCAGCAGTTGTTTTGTCAAATAATAAGTAGTAATCTTTTCAATTTCATGTCACATTTGGTTTTAGAAGGAAAGGTTCATTTATTTGAATATGAAAACAAAGAACACAATGATAACTTACCAAAACACCATCAGCAAAGTCTTGCAATTTTTAAACACATAACTGGCCTGAACTGGCCACCTTCTTCCATTAGAATCAGCTCCACACTGGGCAGTGAGACACCAAGTACTGAGTGAGCTATAAAGCTATACCCCAATCCCAACTTCTTGGTACAGCAAAATTTTGAGAGAGATCTCAAAAAGGAATGATTTGCTTAAGAGAAAGGTGTGTTAAAAACAAAAGAGAAAGGTGTGTTGAAAACAAAACCAGCCCACAAACAGGCTTTCTGAGCAACATGTAAACTACCTCCAACAGTCTAAAAGAACAACAAACAACAGAGTTGTGTGCTATCAATTTAGGTCTATTGGGTGCATGCGATGATAGTGTCACTTCGGTAGACAAGACATACGAATGCAGGAGGTAGCCGGATAGCACGAAAATGAATAAAACATAGTCATTTGATGGAATACTACACAACACTTAAAGAAAACAAACCTAGGCCGTTAAAGGTAAATATGGATAACTTACTCTAAAAGAAATATACACCCTGCAAAAATTATAGCTACTCATTTCAAATAAAAACAAATAAATGTGCAATGAAAAAATGGGTTGAAAGAACATACACATTAAAATGAATTCAAAGCAAACATGGGTTTTAACCATGATTGAATAAAGGGAAAGCAGAACAAATCTCTCTTCAAAATAGGAACACTGCCAAATCGGGGGCGAGAAAGCAGTCTGGGAGAGAAAAAAGCGCGCATCCCGGAAGAGACATCCCGCATCCGGAGTGAGGAAGGGCGTTCGGGGACTGGTTTGCTCGCCGAGGCCTTACTGCACTTACAGGTTAATGGTGCGCTCCAGGGTGAGGGGCTTGGTCTGCTGGATGTACTTGTTGCCGAACTGGTTGACCCCCCGGGGCCAGCCCGTCTGCGAGCGATTCGGCGGCACCACAGACATACTGAACAGCTCCGACACAGGCGACGTGCAGAAAGCGGGGACCAGCGGAGACGTCCGCAGAGCGGGCAGCGGTTATCTGCGTCCCGCTCAGCAGCCGCCGCCCGCCATTAACAGTCGAGAGCAAGAGGAGGCAAAAGCACGCCGGAAGTGAATAGGCTCTGGCGGCAGGAAGTGGAAGGTATTCTACCGCGACCATTCGGCTAGTTGCTGGCAGGGTGGTGCAGTATGTTGATCTACCATTGGTTAATTATGGCTAGATCCAGCCTCCTCATTCTTTGCTGCCTTCCCATTGGGTGATGCTGGGACTAAGGAATGGGGCATTTCGGGAACTGTAGTTTCTGGAGGGAAGTAGTGAACTGACTTCCTTGGCATGGGTCTGTGTGCATGGTGAGGAGATGAACGGGAAGCGGCCCGCGGATCCGGGCTCAGCGCGGCCAATGAAGAAGGGAAAGAAGCAGGTAGCGGCGGAGTTTTCGGACGCTGTCACGGAAGAAACAGTGAGGAAGCAGGTGGCTGAAGCCTGGAGCTGCCGGAAGCCATTCAGCCATGGTAATGGGGTGCGGTGAGGGAGGAGCGGCCGGGAGAAGAGGCGTGGGAAGGACCATAGCCATTCCAATTCCGGCCCGATTGCTGCTCGGTTCTTTCCAAACTCTACTTGATTTGTCAAGCCTGGGAAGGAAAATATAAGTTCGGGAGTATGGGGAAGTAGAAGATATGTAAACTGAGGGTCGAGTTCTAGAATCAGAGATCACTTATAGAATCTCTCTGCTGATTGTACGTCATTGGGCAATGCATTTAACTTTGCTAAAGCGTCAGTTTCTTTTATAAAACGTAATTAATAATATTCCCCCTCGGGAAGGTAGAATTGACAAACTAGTGCTCGTAGGCATTTGTAAGTGTTTCCTTGAGACCAAGTAAATAACTGGCAAGTGTCGAATAGTCGTCTAACCAGCACAGATGTTGAGAGCTAACACCTGGAGATACCGATTTTCACGTGCCTTGTAATTTGACTACGTGAGGCATGAGACGAAAATATCTTGAAAGGAACCATCATTCCAGACTTAGCTACAAGTTATTACCTTAAACAACGTGAATCTGGCTGAGTGCGTCTTGAACTTTCTTCCCAAGTTTGCTAGGTTTGGGGAGTTTTTGGTTGTTGTTTGTTTTTTGTTTGTTTGTTTGTTTGTTTTGTTTTTTTGTTTCGTTTGCGTGTTTTTAAAAAGGCAAATCATGAGCTCTCTGGACACAGAGAGTTCTCCGCTTCCTCATCTGTTGCATAGGCAAAGTGACAGAATTATCTATTCCTCAGTTGTTGAGAAAGTAAATGAGGCACCCCTGGGTCAGGCTCTTACTAGATCAGAATTGGTTGTAGACATAGGTTGATAATCTAGTGGAAGAGAAATCAATTAGAAGGTTATAAACCAACTGATATGTGTATATATATATATATGTGTGTATGTATGTATGTATGTATGTACATATGTATATACATACACACATATGTATATGTATTAATGTAGTCATTTCTTCCCCACAGAAAAAAAAAGGTGGGGGAAGGGCAGGATTGAAGAGAAAATGGCCAGCCAGTTTTGCCACTCTCGTTTAATTTGCTATTCTGGTTTTACTTTGCTCTGGAGAAAATGAGTTAAGAGTCTAAAATGCATTGATGCAAGAATCAGTAACATAATGAACTTTAAAATAAACAAGAGCTTCCTTTAGTTATATTCCCTCCACTCATTAAAGACTAGCATTTAAGCACAGTATCTGAGAAAGGTAGTCTTGAATGGATACAGGAATTACACAGCTTACAATTTTATTTTATTTTATTTTTTCTTCACAAATCAGGCTTTCTTTGTATAGCACTGGTTGCCCTAGAACTAGCTCTGTAGGCCAGGCTGGCTTTGAACTCATAGAGATCCTCCTGCTTCTGCTTCCCAAGTGCTAGGATTAAAGGAGTTTGATACCACAGCCTGGCTTTTCTCAGAATCTTAAACTTTAAATATTAGGTTTCCAAAAATTCATGATTGTCTTCTTTTGTATTCTGTTATGCTACTTGGTATAACACAGAAGATGACACAAGTAATATTTTTCTCCTAACAGAAGCTATTGTCTTGGACATGGATCCTTTTCCTCACTGTATAATTCCGAACTTCATCCAAAGCCAAGACTTCCTAGAAGGACTTCAGAAGGAACTTTTAAGTCTGGACTTCCATGAAAAGTATAATGATTTATATAAGTTCCACCAGGTATTTATTCCTATTACTTTAGCTCTTCCTGCTCAGAAATTCCTATAAAATCTTTCATTACTGGTGGCTAGAGAGATAGCTTAAGAGTTGGGTTAAGAGTGTTTACTGCTCTTCCAGAGGACCCAGGTATAGTTCCTGGAACCTCATCAGGTGGTTAACGAACCTCCAAGAGCACCTATATGCACACACCTACAGACAAATACACATACATACATATAATTAATTTTTAAAATTCATTATTTTTAAAACATTCAAAGTTGTAGATTAAGTTTGTTTTGAAGATTCTTCACCTTGCCCTTTTTTTTCTCCCCCCAGACAGGGTTTTTCTGTTTAGCTTTGTAGACCAGGCTGGCCTCGAACTCAAAGAGGTCCTCCTGCCTTTGCCTCCCAAGTGCTGGGATTAAAAGTGTGTGCCACCACCACCCAGCTCACCTTGCCATTGTTTAGTATTGCTTCCTTTAACATAAGCAGTGTATCCAGTGTTAGTTGTTGTAATTGCTATAAGGAAGGATTTCAGTAATTTCTACCCTCTAATGTCTACAATAATAGATATGATAGTGCCTGGAGATGGTGGCAAGAGTGAGTTTGAGGCCAGCCTAGTCTATAGAGCTAGTCATATAGAGTTCCAGGACAGCCAAAGCTACATGGAAAAACCCTGTCTGGAAAAACCCCCAAAGGGGGTGGGTATTTGAGAGATGATAGAAGTCAAGAAATGCTTTAGCTAGCTTTAGGCTAGTGAGTATATCATAAAGGGGTGAAGTATATGTAGGAGTGGGTGGCATGGTGAAGTCTTTATTTGAAGATAATAACCGTAAAAATTTGAGTTCATGCCTTTGCTTTTATGACTTGATGTATTGTAGTTACAATATTCTGCATTACAATATATCAAGCAGAAAGGGAAACTATTTTTCCTTTGAGGAGTAGGAGTAGGAGTGCTGTTTTGAACCCAAAAAACCTTGAGTACATTAAACACACTGTCACTGTACCCCCAACTCTCCTTTTTCTTTTTTCTTTTTTTGGTAGACAGTATAATTTAGTTTCCAAAAGGCTATCTTGAAACCAGAATTTTTTTTATTCCTGCTCTTAGAAGACAGCATACACCTTTAATCCCAGCACTCAGGAGGCAGAGGCAGGCAAATCTCTGGGAGTTCAAGACCAGCCTGGTCTACAGAACAAGTTTCAGTACAGCCATGGCTACATACAGAGAAACCTTGTTGCCGGGGAGAGGTGAGATAGCCTGGTCTAGCACAGAAATACACGCCATTGGTGTCCCCATTGTGGGGTCATCTTCAATATATAGCAATCACTGTTTTTTTAATATAGGGCTTAAAATTTTTTTAAAGGGCTGGAAAGATAGCTCAGCAGTTACCAGTACTGGCAGCCCTTCCTGTGGACCTTCCTTCTAGTCACAGTGCACACACGATTGCCCACACCCATCTATAATTCCAGTTCCAGGGAATCCACCACCCTCTGCTGGCCTCCAAGGACACCATTTTACACAGACATACATGCAGACAAAACACCCATACACATAAAATAAGATTGAAGTATTTTGAAAATTCAGAAAAGATGAAGCAGATGAAGAATTCTCTTTGCATTTCCCCTTTGATTTTATCTGGAATAAGAGAGTGACTGACATCTCATTTTTTTCCACTAGAGCTGATCATCTGGTTAGCTTGGTATCCTACCCCAATCCAATTTGTAGACCTTGTACATATGATTGAATTATCCATACTAAATATATGAGTGATGAAAAGCTTAGAAGATAAATGCAAATCAAATTTTATTCCAGTAAAGTTTACCAGGTTAATGAAAGAAACACAGTTAACTACTTTTATAATTATATCAACTTTTCAATCCTAAGCAACCTTTGATTACTAAATTGAGGTAGGTGTGTGTGTGTGTGTGTGTGTGTGTGTGTGTGTGTGTGTGTGTGTTGGTTCATTCGGCAATGTGGATGGATATACATGTGTGCCATTCCTCAGGCTCCATCCATCTTTATTTTGAATCAGGGTTTCTCGTTAGCCTAAAGCTCATCAAATAGGCTAGGCTGGCTGACTAGTGAGCCTAGCACTGAAATTAAAAGCACATACCACCCAGCTTTTTCTCTGTGGGTTCTGGGTATTAAACCTAAGTCATTGTGCTCACAAGGCAAACATTGCAAAGTCTGAGCCATCTCAACCCCAGAATGGTTTTTATTTGATGCTATTTGACAAGTGAAGGGATTTTGTTAATGTGAAGTAAGCATGAGGAAAAAGCAAAAACTGACTCTGAGTGATTGATGAAGAAAAGAGGAAAGCCATTACCTATTGTGAATAATTTTTACCTTGCTCACTTTTAGACATGATCTCTTCACATGTATACTTTTTCTTTGCATTTGCTGTAAATTTAACAGATAATTGGATCTCTGGCATATTCTAACCATGTAATAATCTGACATTAGGATTTGTGAAATATATGTACAAATATAATATATATCACATGGATATATATTGATATATGTATTGTTGTTTTTTTTTTTTTTTTTTTTTTTTTTGAGACATGGTTTCTCTGTGTAAACCCATCTGTCCTAGAACTCACTCTATAGACCAGGCTAGCCTTGAACTCACAGAGATCTGCCTGTCTCTGCCTGTTGAGTGCTGGGATTAAAGGTGTTAGCCACACCATATGGCTATATTTTTTTAAGCATTACTAGCGCATACTATATGACAGTCTAAATATTTCAATTATTAAGTCCTCAACAGAGTCCTGTAAAGGAGTGTAATGTTCCTGTTTTACAAATAGGAAACTGCGTAAACTTTTCCTTCCCTTTTGGATCATTCAGTTTAATATGGCAACAATAACAAAGCCTTATTAAGTTTTGGGGGTGTTTTTGTTTTTTATATTAAAATTTTTTCAATTAAATAAAAATTTAAAAGTTCTTTCTCTAACTCTCCCCTTTAGCTTCCGTCCTGTTGTTCACTTGCTCGCTTATTTTTTTATTTAGTTTGATTTTTGTTTGCTTGTTTGTTTGTTTTTAATGAGACTAGGTTTCTAGATACAGCCTAGGCCAGCCTCAAACTGAAACTCTTCCTGCCTCTTCCTCCTGGGTGCTGGGATTACTGGCCTGTGACAACACACCCAATAGGACCGCTCTTTTAAGGGCTGTCCAAACAGCTTCATCCTTTCCTTTCACCCTCTTGTAAGCATGCTTTATCTTTTAGCTCTACCACTACACTTATCAAGGTCACTTTTAGCCCCCACGTTAGTAAATAATGCCTTCACTTGTCATTCTTTGACGTTTTATGAGACTAACACAATACCTACTATGCTACAAAGGCAGATAATCCTTGATCTTTTAGAAGCATTTGTATTCCTCCTTCCTAGAGATGTATTTTCACTTTCCTTTCAAGATACCATGCTGTCTTAGTTATTCCTCTATTGCTGTGAAGGGACACCATGAGCAAGGCAATTTATAGAAGAAAGCATTTAGTTGGGTCTTATGGGTCCAGAGGGTTAGAGTCCATGACCATCATGGCAGTAAGCAGGCAGGCATGCTACTAGAGCACTAACAGAACTATCAGAGTTCTCACTGTTCTTTGCATCCAATATGCTGTAACAAGGAAATTTCTTTTTTCTTTATGATCAAGTCTGATGATTTGAAGAAGAGAAAAGAGCCTCATATCTCAGCTTTAAGGTAAGCAAGTATGTTGGGCAGAGCACTGAGTAATTTGTTAGTTCACATAGTCCTTGTTGATATTATTGCATTTGGTAAAGAAGAAACAAACCCTAAGAAACTAAATAACTTCTTCAAGACAACCCAACAAAAATTGAGAGAGCTAAGGTAGAAATCCAAGCCTTGGATCACTTATTTGATGGCTAAATTACTCTTCTTTCCTCCTTCCTCCTCCCTTTCCTCCTTTCTTTTTTCCCTTCCTTATGGACAGGGTCTCAGGCAGGTCTAGCTCAGGTATGTATGTAGCTCACATTGGCCTGAAAGTCACAGAAATCCTCCTGCCTCAGATTACCAAGTACTATGATTTTACAAACATAAGTCACCATGCCTGGCTACATGTTCTTAATAATAAATGTTTTACTTTGTTATGATGGAAACAAAGTAACAACGGAGGTTGTATTTTTGCTCATAAACCTAAGAAGTACTAAAAATTAAAACTCAAGTGTAGACAAGTTAGATACATTTGCATACTACTGCCATCCTTTAGAAGATGGTGTACCAATCCCTTAAAAGTATGCATTAAAAAATGATTGTGCTTATGGGTGTTTTGCCTCATGTATGCACATGCCCCACATGTGGGCAGAACCCCTGGACATCAGAGGATGTTGGAACTCCTGGAACTGGAGTTACAGATTATGGTACCTAGCAGGTGGGTTCTGGAGACTGAGCCCAGGTTCTCTGCAAAAACAACTGGTGCTCTTAACCAGAGCCATCTCTCCAAACCTGGAAGGATGCACATTTTATAAAGTAATTGATTGTGGCAAAACAAAGAAGTATTCAAAGATTCCATATAAGAATCTATGCAACTATTACTATATGTATGAATTTTAATAAACAAAATAGTCACACTTTATTTTCTCAATTCAATGATACTTTTTAAAAATCTCTAAAATCTACTGTCCTCTAAAGTTGCAGTTTTGTTCTAGCTTAATTAGCAATATTTTCTCCCCTTGGGGAATATGTAAGAGGATAGTTATTACAATCAAAGGCTACAGACATAAGCTGTATGTCCTTGTACAAACTGAACCACTTGGAATAGACTAACAGGATTACAGAGGTTTTAAAAACATTTTCCTTTTACTTCTTTGGAACTTTTTTTTTTCTTCCATAATGAGCACATGCTTTATAATAGCTGTTTTTCATCTATCTACAGAGTGGTTTTTTCCCTCTTTTTTCTCTCTGAGACACTCCCATATATGACAGCAGCCTGTACAAGTTATTTCTTTCTATCTAGAAATATTGCGTATGTGTTAACTGCAACTCATATTTCGTACCAATTTATGTATTAGTGCATATGATACTGAGATTTATAACAGGAAATGCATATTTGATCTTAGTCCCCATTCTTGGCAGCAACCTCCTAAAATTTAGCATTTTAAGTGTTGAGATTAATAAAGATAAATGGAGAATTTTTTGTTAGGAAAAAAAGTTTTCTACCACACCTGAGCTTACAGTAATGGACAGCCTTCAACGGGTTAGGGAAGAAGGAACAGTTGCCAGGAAGATAACTAAGAGTGTTACAGCTCTCAGCTCTAACCATTCCAGCCTCCAGAAAAAATGAGGAGGGTGGTAGGTGACATAGGAGGATTGCTACAAGTTTGAGTCTAGTCTGGGCTACATAGTACATTGTAGGCAATGCCTGGGCTACAAAACAGGACCTTATTTCAAACATCCCCAGGGGCCAGTGGTTTATTTAGTCAATCATGCCTATGTAGCAAAGCGTCCATAAGTTCCTGAGATGCCCTGGAGATGGAAAAGAGGTTCTGTTTCTTTATGCTGTGAATCTTTTATATTTGACTGTTCTTGAATTGTCACTTAAAAAAAAGTATTGTTTGTGTGTGTATACCTGAGTTGAGTTCATGTGTGTAGGTGCTCTTGCAGGCCAGAGGTACATTAGATCCCTGGAACTGGAGTTATAAATAGTCGTGATCTTCCTGATACTGATGTTGGGAACTAAACCCAGGTTCTATACAAGAAGAGGAAGTGCTATTAAGCAATGAGCCATTTCTCCAGTCCCTGAGTTGTGCCATTTTATAATAAACTGGTAATACAGTAAGTAAAAAAATTACATATCCAGTGATCATTGTGAGGAGGGTGTTGTAGGGACCTCCTATTTATACCCATCAGTCCAACTCATCAGCTGGTCTTCTCACTGGGTCTGAGGGTGGGCCAATCCTGTGAAACTGGTCCCTTAATCCTATGGATAGTGTAGGAATTGAACTGAGTTTTAAGGTGTCCTGATTGTTTCCAAAAATAGGTAGGTATCAGGGAAAGGCCCACATATTTGGTTTCAGAAGCAAAATGTGTAAAAATAAAGCAATTTTTTTTTCTCATTTATTGCTGAAAAGCCTGTCTGAGAATGGGTGATTTTTAGTGTAACAATGATGTAGTGACTGACAACAAAGGTCAAAGTGCTGGTATAAGAGAATATACCAAAGGCAAAACTGCTAGCTAGGGAATGAAATGCAGGAGACTTGGAGCAAGCTCACCGTGGTAAATGGAGAGTTACATTATTTCTCTGGGAACTAGCCACCTTGCAAGCTTAAACTGGAGCATCTCTCAAGGTCGGGAATGAAATTTGAGGACAGGTCTCTTGAATGAGCATAGGAGTGGCATGGCTCCAGATCAAGTCCATGTTGTGGCTTAACAAGTTGTCTTTTGTTCACACTTCTAGGAAACTTATGTTTGAAGATTTTCGGGACTGGCTTTCCAAGGTTTCCAGCATTGACCTAGAACCAACCGTTGACATGTCCTGTGCTAAATATGAGTTCACTGGTAAGGAGGATAAAGCCCTGCTAGCTAAAGATTTCAAGGCTTTAACTCCACAGTGATGAAAAAATAACACCAGTGTACCAGGTAGCATCGGGGTCTTCCTAGTAAGGGCTCAGCTCCTATGCAGAAATAGCTATCTTGGCAAAATCTAAACTGGTAAAACATTTTAGAGATAAATTTAGTAATACATAAGAAAAACTACTATGTATCATTACTACTCTTTCTTTTATTTGAGACAGTGTCTCCCTCTTTAATTCAGGCTGGTCTCTGTCTCACAGAGATCATTTGCCTAATCTCTTGAATACTATGATTACAAGTGTGAGCCACCCCATCCTGTTTTCTTTTTCAATTTGAAGTCATTTCAAACTTAAATAGAAGTGGCAGGCATAGCACACATCATTTGTTTTCCTGCTTTATTTGAAAGACAGTTGCAGTCCTGGGATTCCATAGGCCTGAACATTTCACTCATTCTTCCTCCATGACAGTAATGAACTTTCAGAGTAAGAAAATTAACAGCCCAGTGTTGTTCCCATCTAATTTATAGGCCTTGTTCATCTGTCACTATTTGGTCCTTGATGCAAAAGGAACTAGTTGAGGATGGCACACTTCATTTAGTTGTCCTGCCTGTTGAGCCCCCTTTAAAATAGCCTCTTGGCCTCTCCAGGACTTCCAGGACCTTGATGCTTCAGAAGACTTTTATATTTAACAGTTCCTTCAGTCTGGGCTTATCTGGTGTTCCTTGTGATTGGGTGATCTTTCTTGAGGCGTACATTTGGAAGGAGTATAGTAGCTAATGCTGAGCTTTCTTTTTTCCTAGTTCTGCTAGATGGTTCAAAGTGACTCACATTATTAGTGATGTTGCCTTGGATGACATACGTGACACTAGTGTCAGATTTGTGTGTACATATTATGTTTGTACATGCTGTTGGTTTTGCTGCTGGAATTGAACCTAGGGTTTCAACTTGCTAGACAAATAATACTTCCAAGCTGTAGCCTCAATTTCCTAATTTCTGCAAAGCAGGATTTTCAAGGTGTGTCTCTTCTTTCCCATGCCAGGTCTAGAATGACCTAGAGTGCATCCTGGTTCCTTTTAGTAAAGAATGATACTTGAAAGTCAAGAACTGGAATCAGTCTGTGTCACTAAGGTGTCACCTGGACTCTTCCAGTGAAAATGCCAGAATATGTACCTCTACATATGCACAAATATATACACATAACTGAATTCATATTGCTTTCTCCGGTACTAGTTGAATACCACAAGGTTTATTCTACATTCCTTTTCCTTAACTGTAAACCTTCTTCAATTGTGCAGCACCTAGCTCCCATTATCTTCAACATATTTACTTCTTGGATCAATCCCATCATGTATAAATGGTTACAGTTCACTGTAACCTTTTTCCCTGTACCATCCTGCATAGATGCCTACTTTGTTCAACCCCACCAAATGACTTTAGAAAATTAAATTAGGCAGTTAATGAGAACAAGAACAAAGGCATCAGGACAGTGTGAGGGCTTGGTTCAGTGGGTTAAATAAAGGTGCTTTACCCCCAATCCTGAAATCTGAGTTTTATTCATGGAACCTAGAACAGTAAGATTTGTTAAGGCATTCTTTGGAATTGCCAAGAAATATAAAAAATTTAATGACTAATAGAAATACAATTAGAAAAGGTAAATTTACAGTCGGTATAATGCAGTAACTGTGCAGCCATTGAAAAGTGATGTCTAGGGTGCATATTGATATGGGAAAGCACTTGCTCTGTAATTTTAAAGAAGTCAGCCTATAACCCACAACTGTAACATACAATTTCTTTAAGTGAATACACATATGAGAGAAAAATATTTTTAAAATGTGGAAAAATAGTGTTAGTAACTATTGTAGATCTGTGAGTATTCATTATTTATAAAGCTTTCTGTATTGTATGGGTTTTATTGCTATGTTTACAAAAGAAAAAACGTGTCATTTTAAAATTGCAAGACAGTTAAAGCTGGAGTTGATGTTACAGATGAATATCGGGGGACTGATTGAATGAGAAGCAGAGAACAGCTACTCTGAACAGTGATCTAAATTATGCTTTAACTGATTGCAGATGCTCTGCTATGCCATGATGATGAGCTGGAAGGGCGCCGGATTGCTTTCATTCTGTACCTGGTCCCATCCTGGGACAGGAACTTGGGGGGCACCCTGGACCTTTACAACACTGATGGTAAAATGCACATTTACCACCTTCAGTAGCCAGCTGAATTCCAGCCTCAGGATCACCATTCTAACATATAATGTGTCAAAGGAGATAGGAACCATGTATTTAGCTGGGTGGTGGTGGCACATGCCTTTAATCCTACCCAGCACTCAGGTGGCAGAAGCAGGCAGGTCACTGTGAGTTCCAGGCCAGCCTGGTCTACAAAGTGAGTTCCAGGACAACCAGAGATATTACACAGAGAAACACTGTCTCAAACAAACAAACATGTATTTGTCACAGTGACTACCACAGGTAGAATTAAGGCTATCCCTAACAACCATCTCTTGAAATTATATTTCAAATATTTGTTCCAGGGACAAAGCTGATTAAGATAAGAAGTAGATCTTGTTCTGTGTACTGACAGTGGAAGGGCATAAGTATACCAAGCTACTTGTGCCTGTGAATCTGCCCACAGCAGCCTGTCTGACATGAGCTCAGTTTTGTGAGTAACTCACCACAGGTTGAATAGGAAAATGAGAAGTTAATTCAGCTCTCATCATTAATTGATGGACATAGAATGGTCCATGTATATATGGGGTGGTCCTTCAACCGAGGCTTTGCATGACTGAGCTACCTGTGCCATGGTTTTTAGGTGCAGTAGCTAGGTCAATGAATAACAGCTGTGCTAGCCATAGTTTAAAGAGATACAGGAAAGTGATGAAGTCTCTCGTGGTTCTAAGGCATACTTTCCTAGCTATCCTCTTGGTTGGTCTATATCTGGCACCTATATCCTTGATGATGGTTCTTTGAATTTATTCTGGATTTTGTTTAAAAAAAAATAAAATTCCAAAAGCATCATCATCATAATAATAGTGGACAGTGGTGGAAGCACTTGTCATATATCAGAGTAGCAAGTTTGAGTGAAACAGAAGGGAGAATTTGAGAATGTCAAGAGCTGGATGAAGAAGCCTGAAATTGTTGATGATAACAAGCCCATTTATAGAGTCTTCTTTCTTGATGCAGAACACTTTCAGCCAAAGAAGATTGTCAAGTCCCTTCTCCCTTCGTGGAACAAACTGGTTTTCTTTGAAGTATCTCCAATATCCTTTCACCAGGTATATATTGTAGGACAAATTTATAGGCACGAAGGGTCAAGGATCTTGCTTTCCCGATCGCCCACTGTCCACTTCCTGCTGGACTTACCATCTCACTAAGTTGCTACTCACTAGCTTCATGGAGTCTCAAGTTAATGTGCTTTTAGACAGTGTCTTCACTTTGCATCCTTTGTGTTGATATGCTGCTGGTCTTGCTCTTGCAGGTGTCTGAAGTCCTGTCTGAAGATAAATCACGTTTATCTCTAAGTGGCTGGTTTCATGGTCCTTCATTAACCAGGCCTCCCACCTACTGTGAACCTCCAATCCCTCGAAACCCTCATATCCCACAAGATGTAAGCATAAATTAATTGGATTCTTATCTTATGTACTAGAGTATATTAGTGGTTTTTCTGATTTTACTATTGTGAGGACCATGTGAGCTGACATGTATTGTACAGTACTAGAAATTAAACCAAGGACCTTGCATATGCTAACAAAGCATTCTATTGATGAACTATATACATAATCTGTTTTTCTGATCTTAAAATTTGATCTTGCAAGTGCTGAAACTAGACTTTGAACTTCCTTTTTTTTTTTTTTTTCTTAAATACATTTTGATAATATTTTTCTCAGAGTTTTCTAGTATTTGGACTGGATAGGAGAAATGTAAAAAGTGAAGATTGTGGAATGATGTAAGAACAGAAGATATAGATATTAATGGATCTCTTGTATCTGTTACTTTTTCATAAGCATGAAATTCTGTATGAGTGGATCAACCCTGCTTATCTGGAAATGGATTATCAAATGCAAATTCAAGAAGAATTTGAGGAAAGGTCTGAAATTCTCCTGAAGGAGTTTCTTAAGGTAGGCCATCATAGCCTATTTCATATGTGTTGTTTGGCATGTCATCTTGCTAAAACTGACTGCACTAAGAGTTCAGATGTTTATGTGATTCTCTTCAAATCAAATGCATTGCTGTCTGGTACTTATACACACACACTTAAACACACACACACACACACACACTCACACGCATGCATGCACTTCTGCCCTAAAAAGGGCTTGGTGCCTAGCTTGTTTTCTTTCTGTTCATTTAATGAATATGGTATTTTGTTAATTTTTTAATGATAGATTGCTACTTATAGTGATCTAATAGTGAATGTTTGACCATGAGGCAACTTGAGTAGAAAGAGAGCTAAAGTCAGAAGTCATGTCCTAGCTCAGGTTTCCCTATCCTGAGCAAATGAGCACACTAGATATTTATTATATTGTTGGTTGGGATGGGATGATGCCTGCCTTGGCATTTTTGCAAAGTTATGGGAGCTGTCTGAGATATCACATGCCGATAAAGTGCTTCATAATACTGTGGACTCACAATCCTAAGAGCTCTTCCTCTGTGAAAAAGTTGGAGGGATTATATAAACTGACTGTCAGAATTTTATAGCTGACATTGAATATTATAGAATTTGAGAGGCATTATACCATTATAGAAATGATAACATCTAACAACTGTCTGTAATTTCATTTCCATGGAATTCAGTGTGCCATAGGCAATGCACAAGCGCATAGACATGCAGAAAAAACACCCACATATATATATATAACAAATAATAAATAATTTTTTAATGTAAAGTCTCTTATGGATCTATTTCAATAGAAAGCCAGTTTCGTATATGTTACAATAACTCTTTCCTGCTAGACTGGTCCCACAATTGTGTCAGTCCCAAATGAACTCTCAGAGACTTATATTAATTATGAAACTGTTGGTCAATGACTAGGGTGTCTTATTTGCTAGCTCTGTCTTAATTATTAACCCATTTCTATTAATCTATGTATCTCCATGTGGTCTTATCTTACCTGGGAACGCCTGGCTGCGTCCTCCATTCCCAGAATCACATCATGACTACTGTCCGCCTAAACTTCCCAGAATCTTCCACATCTCCTAGACCCACCTAAACTTCCCAGAATCTTCCACATCTCCTAGACCCACCTATCATGCTGCCCTGTTGGCCACAGTGTTTTATTCATCAGCCAATAAGAGAAATATGTACAGAAGACATCCCCATCACTTACATTGTAATACACTGAAGCTTGAATCTAATTGGTCTTAACAGTAAAAATCCAGAGTCAGGTATTGGGGTAAATGCTAAAAGATGAGAAAAGTAAAGGAGCCAGCCACTAAAGAGTAGACCAAAGGGCTGAGCTGTCTCCTCCAGCCTTACATTCCCCTCTCTGCCAAGCCATATCACTTCCTGTCTCCACCTCCCTAGTGCTAGGATTAAAGGCATGTGACCCCCCAAGTGCTGAGATCAAGGGTGTGTGCCACCACTGCCTGGCCTCTAATCTGATCTTCAGGCAAGCTTTATTTGTTAGAGAACAAACAGGATATCACCACATATGACTATTCAAAATTTAAAAGCTTATTAAATGAAGGGTCCAGGCTGGGACCAAGAGAGTCTGTATTACTGTACATTGCAGCGCTACTGGCTAATGCAGTTTTAACTTTTCCTCTGCCATCCTAAGTGTCCAAGGAAAGTGTCACTAGGAATTTGAGATTTAATGATTAGCGATTTAACATATGCTATATAATCACTAGGAGTCGGGAAAATGGTTCATTGAGTGAGACTATTTGTTTCACAAGCATGAGGATCTGAGTTCAGATCCCTAGCACCCATGTGTTCACATGTTTGTTTTCTGGAGCCAGAGACAAGAGGATTATTGGAATTGTTGGCCACCAGCCTAGTGCGGAGACAGTCAGGGAACCACAAGCTCTGGGTTCAGTGAGGGACCTGTCTAGAAGAGTTCCTTTTCTAGCCTCCACCCACATGCATGGATGCATGTATTCACTCACATACATCACACACATACATGCAAAAAAAAATTTTTTTTTTTTTAAAGTAGTCTTTCTCTGTCCTAGAACCTAGAATTTCCTTTGTAGACCAAGGTGGCCTCAAACCCACAGAGATCTACCTGCCTCTGCCTGCCCAGTGCTGGAATTAAAGGTGTATACCAACAACACCTTCCTTAAAAATTCTTTAATAATAAATTTACAAACACTTCATAGAATAATAGCCCAATGATACTTAGCTCTCTTAGCTAAAGCTGCCCTGAAGATCTTGTATGTAAGAGGAGATATCCAAATGGACTTCTTAGGACTCAGCCAGCTGATACTCTGCAGAGCAGCTTCTCCTGCCAGAGGAGTGAAGGAGTGCAGGAAGAATTGATAACTTCTTCATTTGCTTAATTTCCAGCCTGAGAAATTTGCAAAGGTCTGTGATGCCTTGGAGAAAGGAGATGTGGAATGGAATAGCCGTGGTCCCCCAAATAAAAGGTAAAAGTGACCATCACAGATGGTTCCATCTCTATTCAGCGCCTCCCTTTCATCTGCATAGCTCATCTCCAGTCAGACACTTGCCATAACACTTAGTTCCCCAGGATATGCTGCAGCAGGTCCTAGCAGGGTCTCACCATTCTCATAAGTTGTCCCATCATTTAGGGAGAAAGGTTCAAAGCTAATGACAGCTTTGATTGCATGGGTAATCTCACATGTGGGACTGAAGCGCTTGCCATTGCTGCTTTTTAGGTTTTATGAGAAAGCAGAAGAAAATAATCTCCCTGATATACTGAAGGAGTGCATGGGCTTGTTTCGCTCCGAGGCGCTGTTCTTGCTGCTCTCCAACTTCACCGGCCTGAAGCTCCACTTCTTGGCCCCATCAGATGATGATGAGCTTGAGGACAAAGGAGATGGGGAAGCAGCCTGTGTTGCTGATGGCATTGAAGAAGGGACTAGCCAGAGCCCCTCAGGGTCTGAGAATCAACAGGCAGCTATTGGCAGCCACAGTCAAGAGAGTGGTGAACAGGCAAACCTAGAACCACAGGAAGATGAAGCAAAGAAAGGTAAGCTGGCGTTAGGGCTTCCCTTTAGTTTTACTTGAAACCATTCTGCATTCAAAGGATTTATCCTTAGTCCATGTAACAGATACTTCCAGAACATCTACTGTCCTATTGTCTCTGCCTCGGGAACAAAGTCAGTTCTCCTGGATCCTGAGTTCTTTTAGGAGACGGTAGAGGTCACATCTATACACAGATGAAAGTGGGGAGATCATAATAGAAACCAGAGGAGAAAAGTCTGTTTACCTGTGTCCCATCCCAGTGTGCTCACTGGGGGCCCCAGGTAGACATGTATGTTTCCAGGTGTCTGTAGCTGGGGATGGGCTACAAGAGAGGGCTGAGAGGATCCACGGGAAGGAGCCAAGCTGGGTCTATACCAAGAGACAATGGGTCCCTGGGGAATCCAACTGTGTTTTGTAATCTTGTGGTTCTTGTCTTTGTGGCACTGGGAATAGAATCCAAGGCTTGGCCATGTGAGATAAGCACTGTACCACTGAACCGTATCCCTAACCTTGGACTTTATGAAATATTTTTGTGCTCAAAGCTAGGCATGATGGTACATGGTAATCCCAGAATTCTGAAACTTGAGGTAAGCGGATTACGTGTTCAAGGCTATTCTGGGCTTTGTGAAGGCCCTAGCTCTTAAAAAGGAGGGCAGCAAGAGGGGCTGGGGGTGCAGCTTAGTGATCAAGTGCTTGTCTGGCATCCCTGACTTCTCAGTTTGATCCTCAGCAACACCAAAAAGACAACAAGAAGATTAGTGATCAGTCTGTTTATTCACCTTTCATGTTTTTGCTTTGGTGTTGAGATGATAAGTTTCTTCTCTGCTTTAAGATCAAACAAAAGTACACTCAAGGTTTATTTAGCTGCTGATATATTTTGTGATTAAATCTTTGCTTCATCTCAAATGTAAGAAATTGGAACTCACCCAGGTTTGGTGGCACACATCTTTAATCACAGCATTCATTTGGCAGAGGGAAGTTATTTGGTGGTCTGTATAGTAATACACCATCTCAACAGAGAGAGAGAGAGAGAGAGAGAGAGAGAGAGAGAGAGAGAGAGAGATTGAGAGAGATTGAAACTCAACAGTCGCCCACTAAATAGTAAGACCTGATAACTTCTGACTGTCACAAGACCTTTTATGGTGGGTCAGCAGGCCAGATAAAGGATTGTGAGAATGGTTTCCATGTGATGTCCTATCATCTCTAATCAGCATTCCCTTGTAGTCAAGCATTTGTACTAAAGTAAAACATTTGCTGGGCGTTATTTTGTGTATTTTTAGACTCAGGTGTTCCCATGTGCCAGGGGGAGCTGAGGCATTGGAAAACTGGTCACTACACTTTAGTCCACGACAACAGCAAGACTGAATTTGCCTTGGACCTCTTTCTGTACTGTGGCTGTGAAGGTAGGAAAAAACAAGGCAATGAATTGTCTCCTTAGTCCAGGAGGGACTCTCCAGCTGATCCAACTCATAAGTATGTCCCTGTGGCCACGCTCTCAACAGTTATAAAGCATGTGGAGGGGGAATCATGAGTTTCAGTGTCCTCAAGTCAGACTTATACCTGGGTATGGAAAGGTAGACCATACCTTTAATATAATCACCCCTATCAGTATACCTAACATTTAACTCCTTTAATTTTCTCATTCAACATTAAATAGTAAGCCTGTGTTCAAAGTTCAGCTGTCTGGGAAATGAGGCATTTAAAGGAAAGGGAATCCACGATAGCAGATGCTAAATGCCAATACCTAAGTTCCAGGGCCCCTGTTATTCAGCAAGTAATCAGTCTTGCAGTGTGAGCTTAGTGCTGTTTGTCTTCCCCTTGTCAGGCTGGGAGCCAGAATATGGTGGCTTTACTTCCTACATTGCCAAAGGTGAAGATGAAGAGGTAAGAGGCTCCTTTCTCATAGCAAGTTCTCCTAATACTTGAAGATGTTTTTGTCTTAAGACACCTAATAGTTTATTTACTTAATGGTTTGGACTTTGGGGTTTTTTGTTTTTGTGTTTTGAGGTAGGGTCTCACTATATGGCTCAGGCTGGCCTAAATAAAATTCACTATTTCACGCAGGCTGGCCTCAGACTTTCCACGATATTACGCCTGCCTCCACCCAACAAGCGCTGAGATTACAGGTGTGAGCCAGCACAACTGGCAAGAAACACAAAATTTATTACCTTAGCCAGCGTTTTTAGCTAATAAATACACATTGGCCTGCCTTGCAGTGGCTCTAATTTTGCAAGGAAATGGTCAGCTTGCAGTAAAGCTCTGAAAGGAAAATCCATTCCCAAGTATTGTTCTAGGTTACTGAGAACCTATGAGTTTAGCTCATGCCTACTAATCTTTCCAGGCTGTGTGGGACAAATGCATTAACTAGTCAGAACCTTTCTGAGTGTTGCTCGTGAGGCAGAGCCTATTGGAAATATCTTGATAGGGAAAAGCTGGTCTCCTAATGAGGGATCTTTGAAAGGCTACCTCATCCCCAGCTTCAATACTCTCATGGAAACTGCCTGTGGAAAATGGCTGCAGAGCTAAGAGCTCTACGTTCTGATGTGTCTCATGTTTCCTGTTTTAGCTGCTCATAGTGAATCCAGAAAACAATTCCTTGGCATTGGTCTACAGAGATAGAGAAACTTTGAAATTTGTGAAGCACATTAACCACCGAAGCCTCCAGCAAAAGAAAACCTTTCCAAACAGAAGTGGTTTCTGGGACTTTGCATTTGTCTATTATGAGTAACAGGACTGGGCAAAGCCAACTAGCATCACTTCATCATGCTGGGAACCTGGAGTCTCCGTGGAGTGAGGGAAAGCATGCAGGGTAACGGTGTCCTCAGAACAGGCTTTATGGACTGTGCTATGCATACCTGTAGTGCCAGCCTTGAGAGGTAGAGGAAGGAGGACCTCCAGTTCCAAGGTCAGTGTGGTCCATACAGTGAGACCCTGTCCATAACAAAACAAATCTGGGTCATCTTTTTATGAAACTCATGATTGTACTCAACCTAGACATTGGCCTCCAGCTATGTACATATCCTTTGGTTCTATAGTGACTGCCTCAGCAACTTCCTTCTAAGTTTGGTGATTTTTTTTCTCTTTTTCTTCCTTCCTTCCTTCTTCCTTTCTTTCTTTTTGTGGTAAAATACATAATAACAAAGTTCAGCAGGTTAACTTTTTTTTATTTTTTGGTTTGAGGTTTTTTTTGTTTTTCTTTTGACAGGGTTTTACTGTGTTGCCCAGGCTAGCTCTGAACCACTGATTCCCCCACCTCCATCTCCAACATAGGATAGGCATGAGCTGCCTTTGCCCACCACTCCCTGCATGTGCTCCAGTGCATCCATCACTGCCATCCTCATTCAAATGTTTCTATCTTCCCACAGTGTAATTCCGTGCCCTTTGAACAGTCAGTCTCACTCGCTGCTGCCCCTTCTCTGTTAATTTCACTATTTGCCTCTTGAGTGAATTACATAGTATTTATCCCTTTGTAATTGTCTTGTTTCACTTAGCACAGACCCTCAAGGTTCATCAGTGTTCCCAGTGATTTTTCTTTTTCACTTACATGTGATTGTAGAAACATGTATAACCCTGTCCACACTGAGCCTGAGAGCTGTGACACAGTTTGAGTCATTACACTGCTCCCCACTGTGGGATGAGTTCTACCCTGATTCTTAGGACTGTAGTCTTAGGTGGGTAGTGTTGCTTCCTTGGGAAAGATCTGGCTAAAAACTAACATGGGCCTGGGAATTACATGGCTGAGCAGGAGGACAGACTGCTTACTGCCCTGTGTATTTACTCTTAGGTGTCTACTGCATTGCTTCTCAAGAGGTTGCATAACAGATATCCTGCATGTCTGATATTTACATTATGATTCATAACAGTAACAAAACTACAGTTATGAAATAGCAATGAAATAATTTTATGGTTAGGGACACCACAATATGAGGAACTATATATATTAAGGGGTTCCAGCGTTAGGACAGTTGAGAACCATTGGTCTGCTGCCTTCCAGACTTGGAGCTGTGGCTTCTGTGAGTCTAGCCTCGCCTCCCAGTGACTCTGTGTTCCTAATTGCTAGGCCAAGCTTGTTGCCTTTTTCTTCCTTTTGAAAGACTAGTGCTAAGAAGCCAATTCGGAATTATTAGAAGCCCTCAATTTGCTTCCATTCTTTTTGCTGCCTGTTCTGCTCCATGGGGCTGTGACATAGCTCCTGCCACTGGGGGTGTGCACAGTGGCTGAAAGGCTTTGTCCCACCTGACCCCTTGCTGCTTTCTCAGTCTCTGACTACCCTTGCAGGCTTCAGTGTGGACTTGACTTCCTAACAGGAAAAGCACTGAACCTTTAGATTTCTCACATTTCTCTTTCATGTCTTAAAACTCCATCCAAATGCCATCTGTCTTTTACAAAGATGGGCTTCAATTTGTTTTCTTTGCCCCATTAAGTAAAACGTTTAACATTCATAGCCTAATGAATACTTACAAGTTTTAGGTGTTCTGATATTAATCATAAACAAAGTAAATTTTAAATAATAATATGAGACCAACACTGAGAGGGTATACAACTTTAATCCCAGTTTTCAGGCGTTAGAGGCAAGAAGATCAAGAGTTCAGGACTATCCTCAGCTACGCAATGAGTTCAAGGCCAGTCTGCGCAATAGTAGACCTTATCTCAAAAACAAAGAGTGGGTAGTGGTGGCACATGTTTTTATCCCAGCACTTGGGAGGCAGAGGCAGGCAGATCTCTGAGTTTGCCTGAGGCCAACCTGGTCTACAGAGCAAGTTCCAGGACAACCAGAGCTATAATACATAATGAGTCCCTGTTTCAGAAAACAAAACAAAAGCCTATCCTGAAGACGTTCAAAGGTTGTCGTCCCATGCCAGGCAGTGATGGGCATTGTCCATGTATCCTGTTTTGGACTCCACAGCATTGTAAACCACAGAGTAGTGCTCAATTAGGACTGCTTTGTTGCTAATGGTTAATTCTGAAGCTTGCCCTTTCTGAATTGCTGTAGACTGAAGGCAGGCTCTCCTTCTTTCCCTCCTCCTCTTCCCTCCCCCAATTCTTCCCTTCCTCCTCCTTTCAGTTTGGGATGCTGAGACTCAGACCCAGACCTTGCTATACCTGCAGTCACTTTTGCTTTCTTTTTCCTTGGTTTTTTTTTTTTTTTTGTTTGTTTGTTTGTTTGTTTTTTTGTTTGTTTGTTTGTTTTCTCTCTCTCTTGAGACAGGTACTCACTCTGCAGGCCAGGCTGACCTTAAACTCAAGGTCTTCCTGCCTCAGGCTCCTATGTAGTAGGATTATAGCAGTATCCTACTGTATCCAGCTCTCTTGGTTTTTGGTGTATTCTCATGAATGGGGGAGAAAGAATGAATTTATCTAACATTTTATCAGTGGATTGACTCCAGGGAGACCCAGGGGAAGTGCTAGATAATGAAAGCATCATATGAGCCAAAGCATGTATCTTAGCATTATCCAACACCACCCAGCCTTTCCAGTTCCGGAGACCTATGTCTCAATCTTAAACCGTCTCCTAATCTCCATATGCTTATGATCTGTCACCACAGCAAGACCTTTACAAGGCTGAGTTGAAATCACAGAACGGTTGATAGCAGGCCACCGTTTTTGTGTGCTCATCACACACTACCTGCTCAGAGTGCACTGCTGTTAAGGCATTAACTCCCATGTGGCTCCAGGCAGGTTCTTCACAAGGTACTCCAGAGGTAGGCATGGCCACGGGAGCTGGCATTTATGTGCATATACTGCCCCTGAAGACCACAGTAGAACAGGGGGTTGGCAGTGACGATGACAGTCATAAGTGTCTGAGCCAGTGTGTGTGTGTGTCTTAGTTTTTAAAAAATTTCCAGAAAGTTTTTTTTTTAAAATTTGAAAATAACTTGAAGGAAATATTTTTGTACAGTTACACAATGTGTAAAAATAAAGGAGTTCTATTATATAAGCTAAGGCTATTGAATATAGAGTATTTTTAACATGCTGTACAGGTTGGAAGCCTGAAAGCTTCTGCCTTGTTTGTCCAAGTACACTGTCATAGCTGCACGATGAGCTTGCCTCAGCTCATGACTGCTTCATTCTGATCCTAATTGATTGCTGCTTTGGGCATAGGGCAAGCGTCAAATGTGGACGCTTAATACTCGTTTTGATAAAAGCTCTGCTACTTTCTGTGTGACCAATGGCATGTTTCTTTTAGTTCTTAATAGTGAGCCTTTAATACCTTTTTATTTTATTTATTGGTGTTTTGAGAAGGGTGTCTGTGTGTACCCCAGCTTCCCAACTGCTAAGATTACAAAAGTACATCACTGTGTCCAGCTGTGAACTTCTAGTTTCCTGTAACTCCTTTGCCTCGAGATGGATTTCCCTCCAAAGATAACAGCTTTCTATCTTTTCAGATTATATAAATATGAATGCTCATTGTTGAGAAATTAAAACAATGTGGAAAAGTACAAAAATTAATTGAAATCTCATCCTGTGACAACTACTTGTTGCTCTTGAGTATGTCAGTGTGGCTACCCTGCACTGTGTCAGGAAGTATGATTCCTCTTTGTCCTCTCTTCCCTTTCTCTTGTTGGGTAGAGATAACAAACACAAGGTCCTAGGGCAGCCTTGCAGGCAGGGCCCTGAGGGAGTGACTAAAGGCCACCGCTACATACAAGAATGATATGGTTCCCTACACAAGTCTCTTTCAGGGTCCCTATGAATGAAAACAAGCAGCCTGTGGTGCATTTGGAGATCTGTTTGCCAGCTCATGCTACCCTAACTGATAGACCACCTTGAAATGTGTTTTTCCTTACACACACCATCAAATGATTAAAAATTTTAAATGTCTGTATTTTTGTTTTTCCCCACAAAATAAAGATGTTTTTGTACATTTCTGTTATGATGGTAATTTATAATCAACAAGGACCAGTATCTTTTATTTTTAATGAAAAAGTGAATACTCCATTTCAAATTTTAAAACTTAATTACAATTTCAAGGGGGAAGGACATAAATCCATATACTAACTTCATATAAAAAAAACAAGCTACACTCTGACACCCTGATATTTTAAGGTATTCATACCATTTCATACAAATCAGCAGTGCTACAATGATGTCAAATGAAAGGAGACTTTGACTGTCAGATGGAGCAACTGTCCTTAGTTATAGGTTACCATGGTTTTCATCCTTAACAGCCTGGATTCACCAGGATGTGACTGGGAGCAAATCAGTCTGGATTTGTAACCTTTTCCAGGAGCTTCCTTCCTCGGTCTTGCTCTCCTATGAAGAAGCAGTCCCCACCCGCATGATCCTGAAGAGTGTGTTGATGTTGTTGCTTCGAATTGCATCCCGACAAGCACTGATTACCTGGTTCTTTGGTTTTCCAACTGTGTAAGTAAAAAACCTCATGTCAGTGTGTCCAGAAGGGAAATTAGAAATTGAAAGTCAAGCCAGGCATAGTGGCCCATACCGCTAATCCTAGCACTAGGGAGGCAAGGCAGGCAGATCTCTGAGGTCAGCCTGGTCTACAGAGCAAGTTCCAGGACAGCCTGGGCTACAAAGAAACTCTGTCGTCTCAACCAAAAAAAAAGAAAAAGAAAGATTAAAGGCAAGGGTGGAGACAGCATAAAAACTAACTTGCTACCTCCTAGAAAAGACAGAATTTATTACAAAACAAACTTGGAGAGCATCTCAAGCCAGAAACAAAGCAAGTTTGTAGAGATGAATCAGAGCTCTCTTGTTCCTAGCAAAGACTGAGACGTTGAAGCTCTGATCCAGAACAGCAGCAGCTCTTTGGCTGTATTTCTGCTTCCTGTGGCTTAGCCCATTGTTCTCTACACTTTGGAAGTGGAGAGAACGTGCCTCATTACTTTTCAGTCCTTTTCTTTTTTCTTTTTTCTTTCCTAATTTAAGGCTATTATCTTCCTTTGGATTATGAACACTAAGTTAGTTTTCTCAACAGTGCTTCTCAACCTTCCTAATGATGCGACCCTTTAATACAGTTCCTTATGTTTTTGACCCTCAAACATTATTTCCATTGCTACTTCACAACTAATTTTCTACTGTTATGAATTGTAATGTAAATATCTGATGTGTGCGATATCTAATATGCAACCCCTGTGAAAGGGTCAAGGGGTTGTGAGAACCACTACTTTAGCAGCTACAGCAAGATCTTAGAAAAGGAACTTAGGGTTTCATTTCTTTTGTTTTTTTTTTTTTCCCTTGGGGAGGTGGGGGAGATGTTGAGACAGTGTTTCTTTACATAGCTTTGTAGACCAGACCAGCCTCAAACTCACAAGAGATCTGCCTGTCTCTGCCTCCTGAGTGCCCGGGATTAAAGGCATACACCATCACTGCCTGGCTCATTTTCTTTTTTGAGTCAGGGTCTCTTTATGTAACGCTGGCTGTCCTGAAACTCATTTTGTAGACCAGGCTGGCCTAGAACTCAGAGATCTGCCCACTTCTACCTCTCAAGTGCTGGGATTCAAGGTGTGTGCCACTATGTCCCACAAGGGTTTTTTTTTTTTTTTTTTTTTTTTTTTGTTTTAATCTCTCTAGAGAAAACTAGAGCACTTAGTCTGAGTAGGAGAAACCTAGGTGCAGCCAGCTCTAGGGTGTTGACGGCAGCCTGCTTTAGGACCCAATGTAAGTTTTTATAATGCATCCACAATCTTCCATAATTCCTCATCTTTCAAAACATCACAGACAAATCCCGGTGCCAGGAAAGACTCACCGCGTAGACGGCCTGCTCTTTGGATTGCTTGGTTCACTGCCTTCAGGTTTCCTAGCAGTTCTGTGTGGTTGTTACATCGAATCTTATATCCATTCAGCAAATCTTTATTAAGGTCATAGAGTTCCATATAGCGGTTCTTCATTGTTTTCCTGTGTAAATCAACAGAAACCTAGCATTAACATTTAACAGACCTTCAGTCACATAAGAAAGAAAGAAAGAAAGAAAGAAAGAAAGAAAGAAAGAAAGATAGAAAGGAAGGAAGGAAGGAAGGAAGGAAGGAAGGAAGGAAGGAAGGAAGGTAAACAGCCAGGCACAATGACACACATCTGTTAAACCCAGAATTTGACAGGCTGAGGAAGATTATAAATCCAAAGCGCAGTCTGGGCCATTAGTGAGATGCTGTCTCAGAAAAACAGAAGGAAGGAAGGAAAAAACACCTTTTCAGTTGTATTTGTTATATTTTCATTAATATAGACAGACTGAGGTTTGCCTTGAAAATGTCTAAATGTTTCCGTCAAACTGTCATTTTCCTTCCAGATAATACAAAACAAGCAAGCTTTCTGAATAATTGGTCCAGGGTTTCGTCAGATTTAGAGCTCACCCCACTGGGCTTTGGGCAAGGCAGTAGCTGACTTTAAGTTTCAAATTAATAATTTATTAGATAAAGAGGCCTATTAATAAAATATTTCTAAAGAACAGACTGCTTTATAAAGTTTAAAAACACATGGACCAGTGAGATGACTCAGGAGAAAGCTCCTTACTAACAAGCCTGATAGAGTTCAATCCCCAGAACCCACAAGACAGAAGATCCAGCTCAAGTTGTCCTCTGACCTCTACAACAGAATATTTCTATACATGAAAATGATTTAGGTGAAACTGTAGAACTGGAACTCAGTGCAGTGCTGAATACAAAGTGGTAATTTCTCTGCAAACTTGGTGGCTTCTTATAATACAGCTTTAGTTTTCTCCATACTTCTGTGTAGCTGTTTGTTTTTACTCTTTTGGCTCTTTTTTTTTGGGGGGGGGGTAGGGGCTACCACCCAGCTCCCAAATAAATACATGGTGGCTTATTATTACTTATGAATGCCTGGCTGTAGCTTCTTTCTAGACAGCTTTTTTAAACTTATCAGGTCTATCTTTTGCCTCTGGGCTTTTCCTTTCTCTATTTCTGTATATCTTTTCTTTCCTTCTTATCCCATGTCTGGCTGTGTAGCTAGGTGGCTGGCCTCTTCTTCTCTCACTCCTGGATCTCCTCCCAGATTTCTCCTTCTATTTATTCTCTCTGCCTGTTTCCCCTGCCTGGCCTTTCTCCCGCCTTAATATTGGCCATTCAGATCTTACTAGACCAATCAGTTGTTTTAGACAGGCAAAATAGCACAGCTTTACAGAGTTAAACAAATGCAACATAAAAGAATGTAACACATCTTTTCATCATTTAAACAAATGTTCCACAGCTTAAACAAATGTAACAAATCTTAAAATAATATTCCAAAACACTTATGTTTAAGAAAAAAAAAAAAAGAACCCTTCAGTTTTTTTTTTTTTTCTACTTTTGCTACGGAATTATATAAACAGCAGTCCTACTCCAAGAGAAGTGAAAATGCATGTCTAAGCCAGGCAGTGGTGACACACACCTTTAATTCCAGCACTTGGGAGACAGAGGCAGGTAGATCTCTGAGTTCGAGGCTAGCCTGGTCTACAGAGAGTTCCAGGACAGCCAGGCTTACACAGAAAAACCCTGTTACCCAGGGGGTAAAAATAGATGTATACAAAAACCCTGTATGAAAATGTAACCACCCAAGTTAGGGAATACAGACATCCACCCACTGGTAAAGGGATAAACTGATCACCACATAGTATTCAGCAATAAAGGAGAAAACTACTGACACATGGATAAACCCCAAAGGCACAACAGTGAGTGGAAAAAAAGCCCAACTTTATTAAGAAAAGGCAAAACTGCAGAGTAAGAAATGGTCCCTGGAGAGGAGAAAAAGGTACCAAAACAGAGGCCCAAAGGAATAAACATTCCACATCTTGACTTTAGCAGTAATCAGGGAAGTGCCTGTGAATTGTTTTCTATATAAATGTTACAAGCTACGTGTCGACTATATTTACATAAATTAAAACGTGTGTGTGTGTGTGTGTGTGAGAGAGAGAGAGAGAGAGAGAGAGAGAGCAACAAAGGACAAATGATTCTGAGAAGAACATGGAAGTCTGTGGACACTTCATTC